AAAAAAAAAAAAAAAAAAAAAAAAAGTTAAGAGCCATTAGCTACATTAAGGTTAATTCAGAATACTTACCAATTTTCAGATTTGAAAACTGAGGCTCAGTGAGGTACTGACCTCCTGGCTCATCTGTGTGTTATTTACTATGAAGAGTGGTCTTGATCCAGGTCCCAGGTAACCGAATCCCAGAGCAGATGAAGTCCAGAACCAATGTTTGCTGCCTGCCCTACACAGTGATCTATGCTAAGCCCTAACAGGGAACAGGTATTGAAGGAAGGTGCCAGTTTTCTTAAGCTTGTACTCATAAGAGAGGAAGATAAATCTGAAGCACCAAAAGAAAATTTAATACTTAAATCTTAATGTAAGATATGAATTCAAGACATAAAATCACGTGATTAGCTTTGCATGCTGAGGATTCCTATAAATGAAACTCTTTGAAAAAAATACCTCATCGTGAAGGGAGTGGGGGAAAGTTGGAAGGACTGTGGTCGAACAGTTTCTGAGAACGGGGAGACTTCTAAGGCAAGAAAGAAAGGAAGAAGTGGGAGCGGTGAGAGAGCACGTCAAGTCCATTCCTATCTGTGAGCAATGCCCCAGTGGTGTCGTAAGCAACACTCCCACTGACCGCAGAGTCACTCTCCTTTAGCAGAACAGGAAATGTTCCCCGAGAGCTGACAAACTGCTATTAAGACAAAGCTTTGTTTATCTACTTCCTCTTACCTCATAATTCCACAACAAATGTGGAGCAGTTTTCAAAAATATAAAACGTGAACTGAACAAAATAAATTACTGAGAACGACACACCCAAGACCACACAAGAGAGAAGCAGACTAGGCGGACTGCATCATCGACGGGCAGCGAGCAGAGGCGCGATGGAGGACACAGCTACTCTCTCAATCACTCTTCACGCATGAGTTTAAAAATAAAACAAAACTCCTCCATCACTCTGAAGTTTCAGCTTTCCTGAGACTAAAGCAGGCCGGATTCCTCCTCCTGTCTTCACACTGACGTCTTGGAAGACGGCCTCAACCTGCAGCAGCGGCTGGTGGCAGTGATGAAGTCAGGTTCCTGTGTGGTTTCTCCCAGTCCTCACGGGAAGGTGGGTCATCATGCTGAGACACAATCCAGGCACAGAGCAGCATGACACTGGCTATCACGTCCATCCGAGTGAGACTCAGGACACGCACGGTGACAGGGCTGCAAGCTCTTCAGTGCACACTGCTGCATTTGCTCAATCACTGGCTAGAAACCTAGGACCACGTTGACATAGGCAACAGGAGGTTGCGAGGGCTAAGACAGCTGTTCTCAGAGAGGGTAACAAGAAAACTGGATGATAAAGGCAGAATGAGGCAACAGGACGCAGTGGCCAGAGGGAAGTCCCTCACAGAGGACCATCCAGAAGACCTTGTGACACGGACTGGGCTGTTGAGAAGTACCCCGGTGGGGGATGGTGAGTGCAACAGGAAGCAGGACGGATGGCCTGAGGCTCTGCGAGCCCCAGCTAGGCCAAGGGCACAGGGAAGGGAGAAGCCAGGATGAGAAGGTACTGATGGCGATGGTGATGGATGGAACCAATGTCTTCTTCAAGAAACCCGCCTATACCTAACTCCCACACAAGCCAAGGGCAGCTAAAGACTGCCCGTGTACACTGGAGAACATGACCACATGCAAGAAGGAGGGTGCGGTAGCTCACATCTGTGATCCCAGCACTCCAGGAGGCTGAGGCAGGAGGATCGAAAGTTCACACTCAGCCTGGGTAACTTAATGATTTAGCATGACTCTGTCTCAAAACATGAAAATGAAAACTGGTCTGGGGACCTAACTCAGTGCAAAGGCTCTGCTTCAATCCCCAGTACCACAAAACAAACAAATCAAAAATCAAGAAGAGAATTCTACCACTGAAATGGAATATTACTCAGCCATAAAGAATGAGAAAATAGATTCATTCATAGGAAAATGGATACATATTGATGATATACTCCTAAGTGAAATAAATAAGTCACACATGTGTAAATACCGAATAGTTTCCCTTGTGTGAATAATCTGCAACAATGCATAAGATTCTAATAAGATTACTGACATTTAGAAATGGGAAGAAAGGAGCTAAAGGTGTAGGGAAGGTGGGATGGGTAGGGGAAGAGTAAAAAGGGAAAAGAAAAAAATGTGAGAGAATGAAAAGAGGAAAATAAAGTGTTTGTAGATGGGGAGGGGAGGAGGGGGTGAAGGGAAGGCAGAGGTAAGGGGAAAAAATGAGAATCAAGACTTGTCATGTAGAGGTACAAGATCCCAAAAATGAATGTAACTGTACTGTATCCCTAAAATGTACCAATAAACTCAATTAAAGCTGAAAAAAAAAATCAAGAAGATAATCTACTACAGACAAAGGTTTTCTCCAAAGCCCACCTATCCCATTGGCAAGCCCACATGGCCTCTGTATCCATGGGTTTTCTGTCCATGGATCCAGCAGACAGCAGATTTAAAATATTCAGAGAAAACTATTGTGTCTGCAATAAATTTGTCTATTCCCTAAACAATACAACTATCTGCATAATATTCTCCTCATATTAGATACAGTATTGTAAGTAATCTAGAGATATGAAGAGGTTACAAGAAGGATGCAAATACTATGTCATTTTCTATTAGGGGTCTGCGCACAGAGATTCTGGCATTTGACGGAGACCCTGCTCTGCAGACGCTGAAGGATGACTGTACAAGCAAGAAAGCAAGGTTATATTTGTCCCTTAACTCTTCATAGACTGTCCTAATTTTGCTTCTTGGTGGAAGTTTCAGTATTTCTTCTGAAGGCAAACTGGACACTAAGTAACCGACCCGCAGTATGAAATCCTTCTGTGTGTTTAAGTCGAGTGAATGCTGTGAGACATCTTGAAAGCTGTCAAGTTTGATTTTAAAGACAATCTGGCAATTGTGTGATGGCAGAATTTAAGGTCTATCAAGGGAATCTGTGTGTGTTAACAAAACTGTATCATACAGGGAGGTTAACTTACATCTGTTTCCTCATAGCCAGGGGCATGTGTCCAGAATTCTAAAAAATGGTATGAAGTCTTTTAGACAAGTGAGAAGGACGGATTCAGAACGCACTTCTGCTGTGTGCTCTGCAAAATGTTCTCTCAGGATCCACCCTGCAAGCCTGTTATTTTTGCACAGGCAATAAGACACAGGGCCTGCAAGACTGCCAATACTACGTGCCACACTGAGTTCACAGGACTTGGCCCTTAAGCAATCCACCAGAAAAATATGACAACAGCAATAAAAGTGGCAAATGTCATACAATATTCTCAACAGATTTGTCCCAGAGTAACAGAGAATATATCAGGGACCAGTAAGGCACCATCTTTGTCTAAAGAAGGCCACCTTTGCTGCACAAGGAATACTGGAGTAAGAAAAGGAAGCTTCTGATTTCTGTTGAGAAAACTAAGATAAAGATTGGATGTTCACTATGAACTTATCAGTCCCTAGTCAAATCATTAGGACAAACATTGGTGTAACATTAACTTATGTACTCAACAGTCATATTTAAAACTACTGTGTTAAATTAAGTCAAAACACTTACCTGCTCCGCCAGTAATGAAGCTAAACTTGAATATGCATCTGCAAATTCTGGACCATATTTAATGGACTCCTTCAGCAGGGCAACAGCTTCTTCTTTTTTCTCCTGGGACCTACAGATAATAAGGGAGGCGGAGAACATCTTTTGTTAACACTTGGTTTATATCCTTTGACTAGACTTAATCTCATTTCTTTTAGCAATGATTAACTGACTCATTCTGGATTTTACTGAAAATGAGTTTAACTGGACCGTGGATGGAGCTGACGTGGCAGGTTTTGAACTGAGTTTTGTACCTTCTATTTCTTGCTGTATCCTGTTTTTTTCTCCTCAGTACTGGGGACTGAGCCCAGGGCTTTGTGCACATTAGGTAAGAATTCTACGGGTGAGCTGAATCTCCAACCTGCTATGTACTTTTTGAGATTTTTTTACTTAATATTTTGCAAGTTTGTGAACAAGAAACACTGACTTTTGGATGAACAATTTTGGGGCACATTCTGAGTAGCACTGGAGCCAGTTTACAGGGGTACAGAAGAGGATCTGCTCCTATTTTTGATCCTATCACTGCGGGCTGATTCCTGACGGTGGCTAAGTCACCGACCAAGGGACAAGCCAGGCCTGCCTACCAAGGTTCATCTTTGGTTTTATGTCTAAGGGAGAAAATTTGCATGCATGCTTCATAAAATTAGAAAACACTGTAACTATGAGCTGGCAAACAATAATGAGCTTTTGCTGAAAATTGGAGTGGTTCTGCCTTCCTCCTTCGAGGGTTCTCCTGGTGATTAACTTCAGCTCAAAGTGGACTCAAGGCCCAAGTGGAGTCTCTTTCTGGGTAGTACCACGGGAGACACTGGGTCATGACCTCACATCAATGCCTGTGAAGCCAAAAGTGTACACTTCCCTGTGATACCTTTGCCACCCATCCTTTTGAAACCCTAGATGTTACAAACAGCCTGGAGAGAGTGGAGAACAGGAACTCCTGGACTACAGCAGGCACACAGCCCAAATGTTCCCTATCTTTACTGCTACCAGTGTAGGGTCGTGCACTCACGTTTTTATTATTCATGGACTCAGCAGTGATTATGTACCATAGGGCCTCATAAATTTCCCCATAATATTATTAATGTAGTTCTCACAACAATCCCATGTGGTAGGGATTGTTTTATTGTTACGTTCATTTTTCTAATGAGGAAATCTGGATTCAGAAGAGCCACATTACCGAGCTCTGTTCAGAGAAGTGGCCTCAGGAGTCCCCTCCCATCGTGCCATACCTGCTCCTTCTGACTGCCTAGGGGCCCCCCAAGCCAGCATCACTGGGAAGCTGCTCAGAAACGCAGAGTCTCAGGCCCCACCCAGGCCTACTGCCCCAATTTAATTAATTAATTACTTTCCAAATGATTCCCAGGTGATCTGCACCTATGCTGAGCTTTCAGCAGAACCGCTCTGTGAATTAGCAAAGGCAGCTGGGTGTAGCTCCTTCTGCAATCCCCTACAGGTCCAATTTCTATACGATGAAATTACACAGAGCTAAAGCTAATACTGACTCCAGTTTGAGCTCCAGAAGGGTGCAAGCAGCTTGTTACAAGTCTAGTTCACCTAGAAGGGGATGGCCTATCACCAGCTTGGGGTGGGGGGGTATGGAGGCCAGATTTCAACACAGATCCTGGATTTAAGGATTTGAATTAGGAAACATTTGTCTTGTCTATTATGTGCCAGATGCTTAGCTATTTCCCAGTGGAGGTGGCTTCCATACTGCCTTCCTATTAGGGCCTAACGCTGAATAGGCTGCTCACATCTTTGAAAATAAAATATTTAACACCTGTTCTTAAGTGGATCAACCTTGGTATGTGGTTTAAGAGGCACATAATGAATTTGCATTGCAGCTCTCTTAGTGCTTTCTTGTTAAATTCACTCAGTCGACAAAAATCTCAAAAGTGTCTGCAAGACTCGTGGAAGGGCATTATGCTTGCAAACACCCGGATTTCTATCTAAAATATACCTTGAAGTAATTCTTCCATTAATATGCTTTAAAATGAAAAGGTATTTACAAAAATACTGGTAACTGATTTAAAGTTTAGCAGAACTCTTCCTCCAAGGAGTTCGTGAATCTTTACTAATACTAATTTGGAAATCCTCCTAGAATCCGAAGCCAATACAGACTTAGGGATCAGGCTGAAAATTAAGTCCCTCAGGCTAAGTTTTAGTTGGACAGTCTTCAAAATCGCCAGAGGAAAATCACATAGCAATTTGACAGTAATAATTCATGCTACTTATCGGTCATTAGTCGTATCATTTAGAGAGCAAAGCTAGGCCTATTCTATGTGAACTCAGTGAGATTAATTACCACAACACCTCCTCTCTCAGTACCTGAGAATGTCCATTAACCTCAAGGATACGATGGAAAAGTTAACCTCAGAGTTACTTGCAGGGAACTGAGATCCCTTAGAAAAAAGCTATCTCTAAAAATCCTTCAAGGGACTGACTGATGAAACACATCCTACGATCAGTATAGTCGCTGAGTTGTATAAGATGCCAGGACTCAGGCAGGGGGCATTTCCTAAGGCTCTGCCACCTGGGTGGTGCTGGTGTGTCTCAGGAGCCTTGATGCTCGTGGGGCACCAGGGCAGCTAGGACTCCTTACTGCTCAATGGGTGTGTCACAGTGCTCTTCAAACAAAACCCAAACAACCAGTAAGTGATTGTAAGTGGATTCTGAGAGGCAGAGGAGTAGAGAGGGTTTTTGCTTTTGTTTTGTTTGTTCTTTACAGTTTCTTGTGCACCTTTTGGTGGGAGCTGAAGGAATAGATGTGCTTTGACACAGTAACTTACAGCAGACAAATTCATCTGGATGGAACCTCCTTATTTAGCAATATGCTTACCATGTGAGGACGAAACTTCATCACAAACCGTGTCTGATTATCCCAGTTTAAAAGTGGGCAAGAGTCCTACAATTCCACTGGACTACTGTAGTCCAGAATGCACCTTATTTTGCTTTGCTTATTAACACCTTACTTCACACATTTGCTTTTAATTGCTTTGCTTTTTACTACATATAGACACCTGAAATTTTTCTAGAGCTTCACTTTCAACATACTCCTTTCCACAAAAATCTTCACTAATGCTCAACTGTCTACAAACAGACTCTTACCTCTAGTTTACAATACGGTTCTGACCAAAACTGTAGACACACAGAGGGACGCAGTTCCAGCCAGACTGGGTGGCCCTGTGAGTTGGCTCTGTCGAACCTAAGACGTCATCTGTTCCATTGGGCCTCTCTCTCTATTTACCTTAAAAATCACTTGGCACTGTTGCTCTTTCCTTCTTTTATTAGGAACTGAACCCAGGGCCTTTTCATTGAGCTACATCCCTAGCCCACATTTTTTAATTTTAGTTTTAAGATAAGCTGGATCTTTTAACAGGAAGTTCTTTATAAATGACCATTCAGATTTGAGAATTGTAGTTGAATCCAATCTCCTTGAGTCACAGTACGGGAAAACAGATTTACCCTGTATCCAAGCAAGAGAAGACTTGTCCCAGGGCTGTGGTTCTTGTGGGGCGTTCTTAGCATGGCACCTCACACTCAATTTCCGGCCCCCTAGTGAAGGTTTTTCCAACTCACCCATCAAAGCACAATCTCCTCATCAGAACTCCTAAGTGTGTAACATAATTAGAAAAACAACACACACTGTACATGTACGTCTCTGTATCTGAGTCTGTATCTACATCTATACAGGTGAGGTATCCCTAAATCCGACAGTCTGACATCCAAAATGCTCCAAAATCTTAACCTTTTCAAATATTTCACAAGGAGTTTTGCATTTTGGAGCAGAAGGAATGTGGATTTTTGAGTTAGATATGTTCAATCAGTAAAATCTATGTAAATATTTTAAAATCTGAAAAACTTATAAATGTGAAACACTTCTGTTCTTATGCATTTTGAACAAGGGATACTCTGAGTTCCTACGTCAATTTTATATCCATGTTTATCAGCGTCTATCTATGTCTACTGTGTGTGTGTGTCCATTTAAAAACATGATGGTAGGGAACTGTTTTCCAAAAGCTCTGACCTGGTTCCCAAGGGCACCTACCTCTGGCTCTCCCTCTCCACATTTCAATGAACCAGGCTCTCTCCTTCTCCCAGGCCCTGAGCAACATGTGAAGGGGACCCCCACCCCAGCTCCTGCAGGTGCAGGTCAACCCATCATTGCATACAACTAACTGCAAGGTGCACAACAGTTGTTCCTAAACTGTCTGTCAAGCACATGCTAAACAATATCTATGCACATTTTAATGCTCATTATGTATTAGGGCATAATTATCCTAAGATTTATACAATAATACCAACAACTACTATCCCAACCAAAATTAAAAACAGATTTAGAGATCTCAGGTGGTTTACTCTATCACACAGCTACTCTAACAATGGGACACCAAGTGAGAACTTCAAATCCATCTGCACACTGAAGGCCACACTTGCATGGCTGTGCTTACTCCGTGAGGCCTTCCTCGAACGCTCTGTGACCACTGCTAGTTCGGAACCCCTTCATGGGCAGCTTCTTATCCATCTTACCTTTAAAATCCTAGTACCTATTACAGTGACCTGCATGCAGTAGAAATTCAGTGATTGCACTTAAGTAATTAAAATTAAAAAAATTTTTGCAAAAGCATGGTTTTATTTATTTATTTATCTTTATTTCTAGATCCATGTAAACTTCCTTAAGTGAGTTTCTTGATATTCTAATAAAATCTGACAGGGAAGGATAATATAAGTAGCCACTTCATAATCGTCCCCACAGCGCTTTCATTATAGAAGCGATATTAAGGAAGAAAGAAACAGCCCGCGCTTGTGAGATCACAAAGGCAACATTCAATTACAGTGGACCCTCAAATTACAACCAGCCTGATGTATGAACAACTTGAGGCCAGAGTTTTAGTTTTAACTTACAACCAAAATCTTGAGTCATGACTTGAACACTGGCTACTTGTACTTCCTGATGCTCTCAGACACAGATTTAACCCTTAAAGAGTTCTGGAAGGAACATGACAGCATCCTTTCCTGTGTGGGGTTCACTGAGAAATCCTGGGCCACTGAGATCTGCCTGTGTATAGGAGAGAG